CGATCAATCGAGGTGAGGAAAAATTTACTGGACCGGGATAACTACACCCTAAAACACTGAAACTATTGGCACAATATATCGTTACGCTGTTGACTACGATATACAACACGTCTCTAGACCAAGGTGAGTAATCTACCAACTGGAAGGATGCAATCTTCACTCAGCTACATAAAACAGGATCGTGAAAACTTCCACCGAAGTACACATCTGTCATCCTTATTACTGTTGAAGTTAATGTAGTGGAGCGAACAAGCAAAAAGACCATAACGACATTCGTGGAAACCAACAACTTGTTAAACAACCCAAAACACGGTTTCAGTACATGTTTATCTTGACGATGATTTTGAACCTTATATATCATCTATTTTTCACACTACAGAATCAGAATGTCCTGGAGGACACGACAGTCTGTCACAAAAGCATAGAACAAGCAGAATACATGTGACGTATAGGTTTTCATACGAAGTCTTCAACTCTTGGAACTTGTTACCCAATAAAGTGTTATCCACTTTTTCAGTTGGATCATTCAAGAGTATTGAAGACACTCTCAGAAGCTTAAAAGTAAAGAACTGACATAAGCTATATGTCTTTTGTCGTCGAATCTCAGATCTGAATTTGTAATCTGAGATTGGATACTAAACTTGCGGGATTTCCAAGCAGTACGTTACATATAAGCAAGGTGAGATGCTTCATTTTATGTTGCATTTTAAACTGTGCCACTTCCTCCTGTCTTACATGTTATTAATGAATCAAGTTAACTCTTTTCTCATCTCATGAAGCTTTGCAGTGGGCGATCAAAATCATTTGTGGAAGTTGATAAACGTTGACTCAAGCATTCTCGATCGTTTATGAATATACAATCGCTTTGTACTTCACTATAATTTATGGACGAACCAGTCAGATTTGCGATAACAGGGTTTAGACTTTGGCATGAAATTCATTCACTCACTTACCTTAGTATAGTTTTCGCATTATAGCTGACATCAGTTTGTGATGAAAACCGTAAATCTAATTTCTAACCTTAACCATCAACTGTAAATCATGATCCTTATTCTTCAAACCGCTTTATAACCCTCATTTAGTCTTAGTAAGTAGGTGGACACTCAAGGTTAGTTTAGCGTTGCTCAAAGGTTGTCTATAAATTATAGTCTCACCCAATTCTGTTAAGAACTCGAAGGCAAACCCGTGGAATCTTTTTCGAATTATTTATAAAGCTGTAACTACGAATTAGTAAACTTTCTTAACTGTTGCGACGTCAAAAAAACTCGGTATTTCTAACACGCACTTCGATAAACAGTCAAATCATGTATTAAACAAATGAATTCATACTTGTGCTGTTATAATAACGTTGGTCAAAAGCACTATAAACACGATGTAAAATCTCGTTGGGAAATCTTCTGAGACCTTGATTCGACCAGTTATTGGGTTGTTAAGACAAACGGTTCATATTATTAAGAAAATGCTCAGAATCTTCTACCATCCACCATCTATGAATGTCTATAAGCTATTACATGAAACGCAGACCGGTCGTTGAACACAAACGCCGTTTCAATGTGGGTCATCTGATGTGTTTAATCCATAAGTGTCCGTATATGCCATACAGACTTTGCTTAAGCATACGATACAGTGTCACACTCTGTCCCATTGATTAAGATCGGACAAATAGTTTGTGGATAAACTTCTTCGCTGGCTGGAAAGCTTCCTATAGGACCGAAAATTCTGCACCAAAATAAATAAGGTCTGATCAAACTAAAAATCGTCCATATCTGGAGTTTCATAAGCATCCATACTGAACCTTCTGTTGTTTCTTGTCCTCATGAACGATCTGGAAAACTTCGGTTCACCAGTCCTCATCCACGCATACGGTAGTAAACTGTAGACAGCCATCAGGTGTGAAAGCGAATTACAAAAGCATCAAATTTACATAGTGTTTCTAGAAAAATGGGCACATATACTGTTTGACATTTCTTCTACAGATATATCAAACCATGCCGTTTCAAGCTTTGGAGGAATATCAAACCGACCGATTTCTCCGCGGTTACGAACTCTAGAGTCTTGACGGGGCGCGATCTAAGTCTGTTAACAGAGAGCCTCGACTCTAGTGAAAACCATCAGCCTAAGCCTACGCTGCTTAACACTTCGTCCAAGGGCAATTTAGTTTGTTGACTCCTGAATTTTTCCCGGCAATATCCGAGACTTATATCTGCCTACATCTGGAACCTCACAACATTATCGCATCTCTTCTGCTCGAAAGGGATATGAACCTCTTGGAACAAGTACGGCGTGGTACAACACGGTTGGTCATAGGATTAAGGAATAAACTCTATGAAGACCGGCTTCGCCACCTTTAATTTCGCTCGTTAGGTTATGGGAGAAAAAGATAATCCAGTAGTGATACAAAATGTACTAAGTACTCCAAGTTGCCTTAATAAAGAAGTTCTACTTGAACCCTACCATCGAACTTCAAGAGGTATCCCTCGAAAAATTTCACTTCAGAGAGCGAATCCTTAAATAAGGTAACACTTATCTCGAGTCCTTTCCTAGACTATGTGATCATATCCCCCTTATTGTACAGCTGTGACGATGGGCTTGACAACCATGTGCTTGATTATGGTTTATTGTTTTTCTCCTGGAATAACTGTGCCTGTATTTTGTTTTTTGCGGTCTGACGCATTGGTCGAGACTTATTATTACTACTTTTATTCATATTATCATTATCATTAGCCTGTCTCCACCCATTTCACCCTGTGATACCGTTTATCTATTATTCGTAGGCTTTATTTATATTGTTTGAGTAAGCAATTTACTTTGACTATTTTCTTTTGGTTCTTCTACATTTTAATTTTATAATTTTCGTATTTTAAACAAACAATCTTCCGCGCCGTATTGTGATGGTTGCTGGGTCAAACAACCGCAACCTCTAGAATGTAAGCACCCATTTATACTCAAGAAATATTCACCTTCAACTATCTGTCAAACTCATTAGGGTTAGTGCAACTGACTGGCTAGACTACCCTTGCTAGACAATGCTATAGATGCAAGACTGTAACATGAAATCAAGGAACAAATGTAGAGAAGTCAGCTTATTTACACTAGCTCATCACAAATATGTTGATTACTTTCTTAATTAATGGTATGTAAAATTCAGGAAATGTGAGCAGGTATTGTACAATAATTCTATACCGTTGTGAAGGCTACTTGTTGATATTTGGTGCTGAGAAGTAATCTTATAGAAAAAGAAATGATATGTATTATTATAAGCTTTATTCCACATATTTGTGGTACGATATAGAATTGTCAGCATAAAGTATTTCAACAAGTTTCCTTTTCTTATATCTTGATCGATTCTGACGATAAATATTGAGTGATGGCCAGTTAGATGTTAGGAGTTCGGTAATCGACATCTGAATAATGTTCATTCGTTTCAATGCATATTGCCAGCCACCATGATGTCGCTGATTGTACCTTTTTGTAACCCGTACAGCGAAAGGTTGTAAACTTTTCATAAACGCACCTGAATAGGTTGTGAGCTCAATAGACATAATGATGTGCTAAAACAAACATATTAATTCTTGAACACGTTCAGCCTTCCATGGCTTCTCTAAATAGTCATTGTATTTGCTTTATATTGAACACATTTAAGTGATAAGTTTTGCCTTATTACCTACTGTTTAGGTAAAATGAAGTCGACAACCTAGAATCGAGCGTTTATCTTGCAACCCAATTAAAGTAACATAATTGCGTCCTATCAACTCTTGCTTAGGACTAAGAAAAAAACGAATGGTTTGTTGTCACCTGGGGCTGGTCAAACTCGTTTGCTAGTTATTAGCTTGTAGTTATAATTATAAATGGAAAGCAATGTACATAAAATGCAAATTTGATATACCCACTTATTTCTATTGGCTTCAATATATCCCCCAAATTCCCAGGCGTATTTTCTCCAGAATAGTTAATAAGCATGGGTTTGCAATCAGTAAGTTTAAAATGTGAAAAAACAAAACTTAATAGTAATTAGTAGTAATCATCCAATCTTTTTAATAATTTTTTTGGAAATCACTTGATTTTTAATGCAAAAATGTTCTCCATAATACTATGTCCCTCCAAGTCCACCATGTTTTTATGCTATTACACTTATTGTAAATCATGGTAACATGACTTATCAACTTCAAGCTTATGTGCATTAACTGAGCCATATAGTTACGGGTATTGATACTATGCAGCTATCGAATCGAACCTGGAATGTCGGGACTTGAACCTACACTCCATCAGTCAAATTAAAAAGGACTTTAATCACTAACCTACTACTCCACTCTAATATCTACAATAACAGTTTAATAGGGAACACGTAGGTACACAAATAATGGATCGTCAATCAGTGTGATGTACCAATCATGATATTATCTTACACAAACTGTTTTGCAAAATGCGTTGTGTAAAGTATAGTGAATTTAGCAATCTTGTTACATATAATGTAGCAAAACTTTGTACTACATCTAGTTCTACACTTCACATCACAGAAAGTGAAAAACTAAAATCTAAATGATAAAGGAATGTAATTATCACTAACAGTGATGCAACATTGCTATATAACACACGTCCATAAAATTAAAACCAACTGGTACATTGGGCTAATTAAAAATTGATCCAACGACAGGTGCAAGCGATTGGTCAAGAAATAGCTTGCACTTCAAGGGAATGAGACGTACGCCGTTGGTGGCTTAATATATATAGTATGAGTACGTTCCAGATTCTGTTTAGTCTATAAACTTCTCACTTGAGCAGCCAGTTGGACTTGTGCACAGGGAGATTTCGTATCTATGTCAAAATCAGACAAAAAATCGTAAATAAAAAGCTAATTGTTGTTTTTGTGTCCATTCCTTAAAGTCTGATTTTATTTTCCAAGTTAATTTACTTAAGTCTCACTTTTTTGCCGTATTTGAAAATTATTCTTATTTCTTGCTAGAGCATATTGATTTCTTGTGGCATATTTCTTCAAGATAATGCCCAGATTTGCCCAGCTGGTGATAGGGCCAGCTGGCTGTGGGAAATCAACTTATTGTAGTACAATGCAAGCCCATTGTGAAACATTGAGGAGGAAAGTTGATGTGGTCAATTTGGACCCTGCAGCGGAGTTTTTCGAGTATACTCCACTAGCGGATATAAGAGACCTTATTCATGTAAGTTATTTAATCAGAATTTTCCTAGGATGCTTTTAGTTAGATGATGTAATGGAAGATGAGGCTATACGTTTAGGTCCAAACGGTGGACTTATTTTCTGCTTAGAATATCTTCAACAAAATTTGAATTGGTTGGATACTGCACTTGGTGATATAGATGGAGACTATTTATTATTTGATTGTCCTGGTCAAATTGAATTATACTCACACTTACCGATTATGCCACGAATAATTGAATATATGCAAAGAAAATGGGATTTTCGTTTCGTTACAATATTTATTTTGGATGCCAGATTTCTTGTAGATTCTTCACATTTTCTAGCTGGTGTACTGTCTGCTCTCTCTGCTATGGTATCCTTATCAACTGCTCATATAAACGTAATGTCTAAACTTGATTTGTTATCCGAACAAAAACAAAAATATGTCATGGCTCGTTATCTAAATCCTGATATGGATTACTTTTTTGATCTGGATCAAGTATTTGATGAAGAAGACGGTGAGAAACATCATGAACGGGAAGCGCCGTTTAATAAACTTACTCATGCACTAGCTGATTTAATTGAGCGTTACAGTGTAGTTCATTTTGTCCCATTAAACAGGGATAAAGAAGATACTATAACAGACTTACTAGTTCAAATTGATCAATGTTTACAGTATGATGAAGAAGTTGATCCTTCAAATCGAGCGTTTGACGATGCTGAACAAGAGTTAGTTAGATTTCAAGGTGAAAATGATGGTGATGAGGATGCCTCACGAAACTCTGGATAAACAGACTATTATCAAAAACTTTGTATATAATTATAAACAATAAATCGTATAGTTTTGTAACACTTCTTTTTTTGTAAACCAAAATAACAGTTTTACGTCCTCATACAGATTCTTTTTAGATTATTGAAATAAATTATGAAGTATTCGTAATCCTGACCGGTTCCCTTTCATTATGGTTACTTGAAATGTATGTATTTCCTCGTAGTAATTATGCATCGATTTAATTACGATCTAGATTATGCAAATCAGTCAACTCAGGTTCTCATATACATTTGTTTTTGGAGACTCTTACCCATGGATTAACTGGTTCAATGTTTTGGCTATGTTGTTTGATTAGTATAAATGGTAAACTGAATTTATATACCACAGGTTACCGAAGAAATATAATTATGACTCTTGAGTCATGTTTTTGGGCAGCATTCGGTGCAATACTACCGGATATTGATCATTTTATAGCTTCAAGAAGCACAAGCATTGAAGTACGTGTCGTATTGTCACGTTTAAATGACACTTTTGGTTTCGTGTGGCTGTTTATTACATTTTGTTTTTCTGTTATCGAGCATTGCTAGCGGTTATGTATAAAATACTTATGTAAATATGGTGCGTACCACTGCGTCTTTTTTAAACTTATATATCTTTACTTTAAATGCATCGATCTGCGTAGTTAACAGGAATAAGGTATCGGTGTACACAAGTAAAAGTCATACTATTATGAATAGAAATATTAATACAATGTTTTATTAGAATACATGGGTTGTGACTAGCAGTAAAGTCTAAGGCGTACGTTTCGTTCTATGTGAAACTCGTGACCTGGATAAACTACCATCATAATGTTGATTTTTACACTAGGACTCAGACCCAGCACCTCTCGTTTCAAACGTCAACTGGTTACCCACTTAGCTACTAGGCCCAGATAACCACTTACTTGTTAAATAGATAGTTGACTTAGTAATTTCAGCCATTAAGTCCTAGGTTACATCATATCATCAAATGTCATCTTTCTGCCCACTCATAGAACAACACGGCCATTTTTTTTCACTTGTACAATGATTCAACCACTGGTCTCATATTAGAACTATGCTAGATATACTTCGATTGAGGTATCTAGATACTATCACTAGCCTCCTCTTCCAATCATTAGATTTATGACTCAATGACCAATAATTAAACGTGTATTTAATTAACAAATTTGAATTTCATTTCTTTGACACTGATCATCATAGACATATTCTATTGCTACCTTCTTGCACAATAAAAAAGTAGAATCACTGAGTAATAGACATAAAATATTTGATTATATCAATCACTATTCTTGTATTTCTATAATCAAACTAAAATTATAACAGTTTCCCTTTTAATACTTTGTATATATACTTCTTTTTAGCTTGCACGTCAACTTCCTGGTAGACCATTTTTACATTGGGCTGGTTTATATCTACTTATTTATACTCTTTTAATTATTGGTTTATTTTTCATATCTTATCCTATATGTTTAAAATTCAATAAATTTTTCACTATATTTTGGTGTTTCATATTTATACCATTTATAAGTCATATTATACGTGATGCAAACAAACGTGGTTTATGGTTATGGCCTCCACCAGACTTTTATACATTCATGAATCTATCAAATTTTACATATACTATAATATATCCTAATAATCTGGGAATGATGAATTTAATTAGAATACTTTTATTGTATTTAGGTGTTTTAATGTTTATCATTTTAGTATTCCGTCAATATGCATATTCTTTTCATTGGGATATATCCAATTTTGCACCGATAACATCTTATTTTATTGATAAAAGTAATGAATTTTATATAGATCATACATTTGTTGTATGAAATACATAATCTTTTGAATACAATAAAACGATCTAAATAGTACATTATTAATAAGAGTGATATTTTGTATATATCTATATTCTATTACCTAATTAATATAATGAAATATACTATCTTAGTGATATCTTAGTTTCTTGATTTTATTTCAATGATGATGATGATGATGATGATGATTTAACCCTATAGATCATTGTATGAGGTGTTGTTTTGTGTTAATGTTTGTCTAGTTAGTTATTTTCATTGTTCAATTTATATCTTTAACTTCTAAAGAGCTTATACTTTTCTAGATTGATGAACCTTCATTGTTTGGTGACATCTTTATTAGTATAAATAATATTTAACAAGATGATATTTGTTTACATAAATAAATGTATCTATTCACATTTAGTGATCGTTGTCTAATGATCAAAGGAAACACCGTAGGTATTATTTAAAGTAACAGTGTGGATGACGATTTATGTGTGTGCGTGTGAATAAAGCAGTACAAATTCAATTAAAACAATAGTATTTTAATAATGATTTGATCACAAACAGATATCAGCTAGAGAACAATTGATTTCAAGGATCTTTGGTCACTTCGTGTCTTCCTACTATAGGAGATTCTTCAACAATGCGCACAAAATCTAACCCAAGACCATTAATTTTTGTGTATACTACAGTATTACTCAATCAGTGAATCGAAACCTATAATTCAATCGATTTTGAAAGACAGCGTCGAGATTTTTCATTATGCTCTGTGGATATCTAGTTCTTTTCTAAGCCAATTGATTCAATAGATCATAGTTTCTCAAAGGAACTACTGTCGATCCACTCCAGTGTAGTTAGTCATAAATAAGAACATGATCATTCTTTACATCTTGGTAAGATTATTTGTCATCTATTGATTGTTGGTTTAGTGATGTAAGTACGGAATAAATTATCCTTAAATAAAAATCTTTCTAAGCCCTAATACATCTATGTCTTATTCAGATCTCCTCAAAATAACTCAATTATTTTTAATTCAGTGTCTATAAGGTCGAAACTATCTACATATGGATATGTGGTGATGTTAGCATTTTCAAATGACAAAACAAACAAGGCTTTTATGTTTTGACAATCTCTAAAGAATTATAAGCTACTGACGCTCTGACATTGCACATACTCTTAGAGCTTAATGTTACATTCAAATAATTTGTTGCTATAGTGAATGATGAATATATTTCATTTATTGTCACAAAAATCGATTGAAATTTAATGGTTCAGCTGTAATAAATTCGGGATATATTGAAATTTGTTTCCACTAAAATGATTAAATTCATTTAATTCAATTTATGCTTATGACTCCATATACAAATGAATAGTCCAAATATGTGACCAGATCTTATCATGTTGTCAAGGCAAAAACAAAGATAAAGGTCATTTTTATCATATAACTCAAAACAAAGGGATTTCCAAACTGATAATAAATAGCCAAAAATCCTTTAGAGTTAATTTATTATCTATTAAAAGGTTTGAAATAGAAATGATGGATATTATCCGAAAATATTGATTCTATGTATATTCTTTCCACTTAAAAAATGTACCACTGTCAGACAAATTAGTTACTGGACAGCATACTTTGTATAGGGTTTATACTTGGCTTAGTTTGTTAACAACTACTGACTTTCCACTATGTAGCGTGAAAATTTAGCAAGAACGATAAAAGTTCATCTAATTGAATATAGGTCTTGACGACCTGCATGAATATTCTACATGAACAAAGCTTTTGTGCCTTTTTTTAAGACATCTTACTCCTTTAAAGAGTCTGAAATGTTAGTAGCAATTATAAAGTGTTAAATATTATTCAGATTTCAAAAAGTACAAATAATCATCTATAAACTGATATAGACAACCAATCAGAACTGACCAAATGAGGTCACTCGTTGATAATCAGAAATGCCCTGAATGACAAATACATATTATTGGCTAAGAAATGGATTAATTTTTTAGGCGGTCGAAATATGTATATATAAATGAATATTCATGCATATTTTTCTACAGCCCAATAGGCTTTCTCTCCCATTGTTGTTTTCTCTCTTAAGTAGTCAGTTTTGGGGGTTAGCGTATAGCAATTTGTGTATCAGTCTCAGATCTCAGCCCCCCCCCTAACATAACGTACGTGTTATACTTTGCGCAGGTACATGACTTACACCTGTTGTTATAAATTCAATTTTGATAATGAATTGCTTCAAAAATTGGTCGTTTATGGCTCATTTATCGAAATCAAATTATAAGAAATCATATAGTTTGCATGACGAGCTGATCTTAGTTACAGAACTAACGAAAATCAGGAAGCACTGAACAGCTGTTCCCTCTTATTATAAAGCTCCTCGGCAATCGGCATTTACAACTTCATCAGGGACTCTTATGCTAAGCACCTAACTCTTAGATCTTATTTTATTTACTTATTTATTTATTTGAACACATAAATATTGGTACAAAGGGGTATCAAATACATATGCGCTACCCAAGTTACTTGATTTGTGCGTGGGCTGTGATAATGCCCGGGTGCCCAGACCGGATAAGGTGGTTTTCTTAGGGGGCCAAACCCAGAGTCTTCGACCCAAAGGTCTAATTCATAAGGCAGTGGAGCATCGTAAGGAGATGCAGTCCAACGATTGGTTCATACGCCACTTGTTCCGCCAGGATACTGGAGCCTATGTGCACCATTGGTTTTGAATGAGGGTTTTCGAACTCCCCTATAAGGACTCACCTTGTCCACCAACGCTGTTAAAGCGCCCGACATTCGTTTTTCGTCCTCTCAATTTCGTAAACAACAGTAATGCCACGAGAATGCAGTGAGTAGGATTTCCCTGTCAGTGGCTGTATACGCGTGGCCATGTGAGAGCAGTTCGAGAGGGAGAACTGACTATCTACACTTTCGACCGTAACAGGGCACCGTTAGATTACTGAGTCGACACTCATTGGTTTACGTCTATAAGTTCAGTCAGTTCGCGACATTGCGTAACCATTTTCCATTTGCTATTAATGGGTAACTGCCAGATACCCGATATAGTTGCAATCTGCTGGTCATGGCTTTCCACTAGAACTGCGGGAAATACATCTTGTTGCGAGATCTGAAAGTTGTCGGTTTGTCCGCTAGTGGTTTGTAGTTATGCACTGCCGAGGAGTTTCAAACTAGGATGTAGGAACTATCCCTTGTTTCTTGGTTTTCAATGATTCTGTAACTAAGGTCAACGCGTAATGTAAACTATAAAATTCAACAATCTTAACAAGCCACCTATAATTTATAATGGAATACTAAACTATCACGCTTGTATTTGTTTATTTAGCACTCAATCTATTGGTTGAATTCAAGGAGTTTGCCATATTGCTTAACGAATCAAGCATTATCTGGTTTAATCATTAGTATTCGTTCAAATGATGGGAGCTCTCAAGTTAGTTTATTGTACATTAGTTTTATGTATGTGTTAATGATCTCTACCGGGAAAGTTTTTATCATTTTATCTAGTGATTAAACGAAAGTTCTTATTTATAACTCAATAGTATCATTGAATAGTATCAAACAAAATCGTATTTTTTTTGTTAAGACTACATAAAAATGGTCTGAATACATTGAAGATACTTGTAATTAAAAAGTTGGTACAGATCTTGTGAAATGAATATTGGTTCAATATTTCTTATTACTTTTGTTTGAACTATTTAGCTCTTTTTGACAGTATTGATATTGATTTATGACAAGATACACTCGTTACATTCAGTTATTGAGAATGGACTATACTTCAGAACCATATCTTACGTGTGATAGAACTCAGGATCCTTCGGATATTACAGCAGGCACAATTTCATTCAGTTAATGAGTTTATTGAACATTAATGTGTTGTATAAGGGGATTTATATTGGACACCACATTCACATGTTAATTACTTCAATAAAATCACTCATTTTAATTCCAGAATTGAAGTATAGATTACTAATCAAAACGCATTTCCCATAGATACCATTGTTATACATTTATTTGGAATTATCACAGAAAATAAGATGTAGAAATGTTCCTAATGATTTTAGTTTCATTTATCGAATCTGTATATATTCTTTATTTTGAATAGAGATGGATTGCACGTCAACGTTCAGATCCTTACGTAAAACGTGCTCATCTTGAAAGTTATAGATGTCGTAGCGCATTCAAATTATTACAATTAAATGATAAAATTTCCGGTGGAATTTTTAAACCTGGTGATATTGTTGTTGATTGTGGTGCTGCACCAGGATCATGGTGTCAAGTAGCTTCATCTTTAACCAATTGTAATAATAATCATTTCAAAGCTTCAAATAATCAAAATAAAGGTTTAGTAATTGGTCTTGATTTATTAAACTTCGCACCATTACCTGGTGTTATTACACATTGTGGTGTTGATTTAAATAATTGGTCTGAATGTATACATTTAATTAATCAATCAATTTCCAATCATTTTAACAATAATGATAACGGCGATAAACCGTTACAACCCGAGAGACAGAAATCACTGCCAGGTGTTGATATTGTTCTCAGTGACATAGCTCCAAATGTGTCAGGAATGCGTGAAATCGATATACCAGCTATGATGACATTAGCGTATAATATTTTACGAGTAAGTTAATTTATCAGAATGTAATTTATATCGATTAATAATGTAATAATTTATTTATTTTACTTAACATATAAAATTTAGTACATCCAGAAACCAAGAATAGAATGTGTCATATAAATTAAAAACAGATAACATCGTGAAGAAATAAAGGAGAACAGGGATCGATCTAAATTAGAAAAATAGCATTGGCAATTAATGCTGCGTTAAAGCCTGTAGGATGACATTCATAAGACATGCCAACCTCACTGGTGCTAGTGTGTCAAAATGGCAACACTAATTGAATGGCCATCAAAGTGCTCGAACGTACATTCCCAAGCATCAGTATTAGTAACGTAGTGTCATCACCATTCCTTCGGAGACAACGATAATCGAATGTAGAGAGTCACAAAACAAACTCAACATCAAGGGACCAAATTTCACAAGCGTAAGGTAAAAAGCTCTCTCACCAAAGTGTTATAAACTCAATATTTCACAGTCAAACTAACATCAAGATGGTGCCAAAGAGTAAGATGTACATATTCGGCTTTCATTTATACATTAAGGGATTTCGCATGTCACGTCACTGTCAGCGATCACACAACTAGTATGAACCCAAGGTTATGTGTGTATAACGATTTAGAATAGGAAAGTTGAGTTATTTAAAAAAATCTATTAAGAAATAATTTGTTTTTAGTCCACAACTGACATCGAATTTGAACTTTGAACCGATCTTAGTGTATTGTTTTCTGAATAATGACACATTTATTATTACACTCTGAATAACAGGATATGCTGATTGTGTAACTTGTTGCTTGATGCTGCATTACACCCAGCAGTTTTATTTCTCTGTTATTGAAGTGACGAAACTAATATTCTCGCCTGCAATGGTAACGGGAACTAAATCAGTTGAAATGTTTAATATTACTGTATAAAATAAAGTGGTGAGCTAGCATAAAATGGATCTTCCTTTAGGTTTTGATATAGTATAACTGTTACTCCAGTAGTATAGAAAAAGTTCAACTCTCTACTAGTTGTTTTGCATGTCGTTCATTAACTTAGTGCATTTCAACCAACTGAAATGGTCCGGTTTTTCCCATGAATGCCCATTAATAGCTACTTATAGACTGAAGATTATACATATTTGTAAACTTTTTATGATTCCCCAGAATTAAAAACACGTCGCTTATTTCGTAGTTCAGTGTTTACTACTGTCCCTACTCGTTTGGAAATTGATTCGTCTATTGTACTTAAATGTGTCGTAATTTGTAATTACAAAAAAAAAACTAATTGTCACTAAGATACATAATTAAATTATCCAAAAAATATGTTGATTTCTTGTTCGAAAACTTTCATTTCTAGGTAGCAATGAGTGTTTCAAAAGAAGGGGCCATTTTCGTGATTAAATTATTCCAAAGTGCGGAAGCTGATGAATTTAAAGAAACAGTTTCACAGTTTTATACATTAAATTCGAAGTGTTCTTCATTTACGCGTTTTATTAAACCGGAAGCTAGTCGAAAAGAGTCATCAGAAATCTATTTAGTTGCTAGAGGTTTTCGACTTCCTCAAATTAAACAGGATAGTTAAATCCTACTCTCCATCGTATATACATATTTACCATTTTAGCATTGTACATTTGAAATACAGTAAATAATTGCTTTTATCACATACAGCTTTATCATTGGATAGATCTAAAAAGAGTGTAAATACCAAGATTTACCCAATAAAATAAATCCTTTCTGTTCTAAAGCTTTGCATTAACCGTAAACAGCTTAAAATTACATTGAGTAATACCATTTATAATAAATTAACGTTTGACAGCCTTTAGTTATTGATGTTAAAGGGAATTCCAAAAACGGAAACAACATAGGACACAAATACGTGATTAAGTATATTTAAAGTGGACACATATTTATGTAATTTCAATGGTTGAGATCATGAGTCAGTTGAAGCTAGACCACTATGGAAAACTTGGAAGCACTGGACAGCCGTTTCGTGTGTCAAATAAATTAGTGATATAAAGTACAGAAGGTGAGATTATAATTATTAATAATTACAAATGATGTGCCTCCATTTCAGTTCTGACAGATGAACCTAAGAAATCATACTTATCTTTTGGCCTAAATCTAATTGGTTTAATGTGGACGCCACTGGCTAAGACTTGGTTTCATTTTCTAAGGAATGACACGATATGAATTAGAGATTTGGCTTTGTTTTTTAAGGGAAAATTATATATAATTGTGAATGGTTGTATGTATCCTTTCGGTTCAATTGTTGTCAATAAATCCTTCTTTACATTCAGGTAGCTAGTCTAGGCTTGCAAATAGGAGGTTTTGTTATCATCACGAATGTGAACGACCGCACAATGCATCATCTTCATGAAAGTAGTAAACCATTAGAGAATTAATTAACATGACTAGAACAAAAATCAACTTCGCCTGGAGTCCCTTTCCGGGGGCTACTGACGGTCCCAAGCTCGGATAAAGGAGGAGGGTTGGGCATGGAGTTAGCGACCCCATCCCGTAGAAAACTAACTCACTAAAAAACGCTAACCAGAAAAAATTATTCAAACCATTTAAACTCTGCCCTGGGAGTCAGGAGGTCTTCGTTTAGAAGAATTATGACGCCTCATGATGAAAGCCGAGTTTCTCCGGAAGTCACGAGGCCGATGCCCTTTCTGACAACCAGAGCAACCATTTATTTAGGTACATGGAATGCTCGCGCAATGTGGGAGAGTTTTCCAAATTGCTGCAGAAATGAGGAGATAGCCTAGAGGTGCTTGGGATCAGTGAAACACATTGGACGCAAGTTGGACAACAACGACTAGCTTCAGGGGAGCTGCTGTTATACTCCGGACATGAAGAAGAAAATGCCCCACATACACAAGGAGTTGCATTGATGCTGTCCAAACAAGCACAAAATGCACATATAGGATGGGAATCTCATGGACCAAGGATCATCAAAGCCTCCTTCAAAACAAATAAAGAGGGCATTACAATGAACGTCATTCAATGCTACGCACCTACCAATGACTACAATGAAGACGCTAAAGATCAATTCTACGATAGCCTGCAGTCAATCGTCGAGAAGTGCCCAACAAAAGACCTGACTATTCTGATGGGAGACCTAAATGCCAAGGTTGGAATTGACAACACCGGATATGAAGAGATCATGGGACGACACGGACTCGGAGAAAGGAACGAAAATGGTGAGAGATTTGCAAATCTATGTGCCTTCAATAAACTGGTCATAGGCGGGACTATATTCCCACATAAACACATACACAAAACCACATGGACTTCACCGGATCACACCACACAGAACCAAATCGACCATATCTGCATCAACAAAAAGTTCAGGAGGACGTGAGAACAAAGAGAGGAGCTGATATAGCATCAGATCATCACTTGCTGGTCGCCAAGATGAAATTGAAACTCAAGAGGCACTGGACAACGGGGAGGACAATATCACAAAAATTTAATACGGCTCTTCTTCGGGATAATGACAAGCTCAATAAATTCAAGATAACCCTCAGCAATAAGTTCCAAGCCTTTCATGATCTACTCAATGGAGAAGAAACTACTATGGAGAGCAACTGGAAAGAGATAAAAGAGGCAAGCACTTCAACATGTCATGAGGTTCTGGGCCAAAAGAAGCACCATCACAAGGATTGGATCACGATCGATACACTAGATAAGATTCAAGAAAGGAGGAACAAGAAGGCAGCAATCAATACCAGTCGAACAAGAGCAGAAAAAGCCAAGGCACAGGCTGAATACACAGAAGTAAACAAGCAAGTGAAAAGGAGCATCAGAACTGACAAACGTAAATATGTGGAAGATTTGGCAATGACGGCGGAAAAGGCTGCCAGAGAAGGAAACATGAGACAACTGTATGAAACAACAAAGAAACTCTCTGGAAATCACCGTAAACCAGAACGACCAGTGAAAAGCAAGGAAGGCAAGATAATCACCAACATTGAAGAACAACGAAACAGGTGGGTAGAACACTTCAAAGAACTCTTGAATCGACCAGCCCCACTGAACCCACCCAACATCGAAGCAGCACTCACGGACCTCCCAATTGATGTTGGCGCACCGACAATTGAAGAAATCAGCATGGCTATCAGACAAATCAAAAGTGGCAAAGCAGCAGGACTAGACAGCATTCCAGCAGAGGCACTGAAAGCAGACGTGGCGGCAACTGCAAGGATACTCCAAACTCTCTTCAGAAAGATCTGGGATGAGGAACAGGTACCAAAAGACTGAAAAGAAGGACTTCCAGTCAAAATACCAAAGAAAGGCGATCTCAGCAACTGTGACAACTGCAGGGGAATCACTCTTCTCTCAATACCAGGAAAACTCTTCAACAGGGTATTGTTAAACAGGATGAAGGACTCCATAGACGCACAACTTCGCGACCAACAGGCAGGATTCCGTAAGGATAGATCGTGCACAGACCAAATCGCAACTCTACGGATCATTGTGGAACAATCAATTGAATGGAATTCATCACTCTATATCAACTTCATTGACTACGAAAAAACATTTGATAGCGTGGACAGAACAACCCTATGGAAGCTTCTTCGACACTACGGCGTGCCTCAGAAGATAGTCAATATCATACGGAATTCCTATGATGGATTAAACTGCAAAATCGTGCATGGAGGACAGTTTGACAAAGTCGTTCGAAGTAAAGACCGGTGTCAGGCAAGGTTGCTTACTCTCACCCTTTCTCTTTCTCCTGGTGATCGACTGGATCATGAAGACATCAACATCTGAAGGGAAGCACGGGATACAGTGGACAGCTAGGATGCAATTGGATGGTCTAGACTTCGCAGATGATCTGGCTCTTCTATCGCATACGCAACAACAAATGCAGGAGAAGACAACCAGTGTAGCTGCAGCCTCAGCAGCAATAGGTCTCAATATACACAAAGGGAAAAGCAAGATTCTTCGATACAACACAGCATATAACAATCCAATCACAATTGACGGAAGAAGCTTTGGAAGATGTAAAAACCTTTACATATTTGGGCAGTATCATCGATGAACACGGTGGATCTGATGCAGATGTGAAGGCACGGATTGGCAAAGCAAGAGCAGCATATTTACAACTGAAGAATATCTGGAACTCAAAACAATTGGCAACCAACACCAAAGTCAGAATTTTCAATACAAATGTCAAGACAGTTCTACTGTATGGGGCGGAAACCTGGAAAACTACGAAATCCATCGTCCAAAAGATACAGGTGTTTATTAACAGTTGTCTACGCAAAATACTTCAGATCCGCTGGCCGGACACTATTAGCAACAACCTACTGTGGGAGAGAACAAATCAGATCCTAGTGGAGGAAGAAGCGCTGGAAGTGGATAGGACACACATTGAGGAAAGCACCGAACTGCGCCACAAGACAAGCCCCCACATGGAATTCTCAAGGTCGAAGGAGGAGAGGAAGACCAAAGAATACATTACGCCGAGAAATGGAGATAGATATGAGAAAAATGAACAAGAATTGGATGGAACTAGAAAAGAAGGCCCAGGACAGAGTGGGTTGGAGAAAGTTGGTCGGCGGCCTATGCTCGATTAGGAGTAACAGGTGTATGATATATATATATATAGGCTATTTATACGGAAGGAAAGTGTGATAAGTTTTCTAGTGCTATGGTGGTCAAGATTATACCCATATTAAATCATTGTGACTACGTATTAATTTGATTTTTGTTGTTACTTACTTACGCGTCGCCGCCGACCAGCATTCTCCAACCCACTCAGTCCTAGGCCTTCTTTTCTAGTTCCTTCCAATTTTTGTTCATTTTTCTCATATCTATCTCCATTTCTCGGCGTAATGTATTCTTTGGTCTTCCTCTCCTCCTTCGACCTTGAGAATTCCATGTGGGGGCTTGTCTTGTGGCGCAGTTCGGTGCTTTCCTCAATGTGTGTCCTATCCACTTCCAGCGCTTCTTCCTCCACTAGGATCTGATTTGTTCTCTCCCACAGTAGGTTGTTGCTAATAGTGTCCGGCCAGCGGATCTGAAGTATTTTGCGTAGACAACTGTTAATAAACACCTGTATCTTTTGGATGACGGATTTCGTAGTTTTCCAGGTTTCCGCCCCATACAGTAGAACTGTCTTGACATTTGTATTGAAAATTCTGACTTTGGTGTTGGTTGCCAATTGTTTTGAGTTCCAGATATTCTTCAGTTGTAAATATGCTGCTCTTGCTTTGCCAATCCGTGCCTTCACATCTGCATCAGATCCACCGTGTTCATCGATGATACTGCCCAAATATGTAAAGGTTTTTACATCTTCCAAAGCTTCTCCGTCAATTGTGATTGGATTGTTATATGCTGTGTTGTATCGAAGAATCTTGCTTTTCCCTTTGTGTATATTGAGACCTATTGCTGCTGAGGCTGCAGCTACACTGGTTGTCTTCTCCTGCATTTGTTGTTGCGTATGCGATAGAAGAGCCAGATCATCTGCGAAGTCTAGACCATCCAATTGCATCCTAGCTGTCCACTGTATCCCGTGCTTCCCTTCAGATGTTGATATCTTCATGATCCAGTCGATCACCAGGAGAAAGAGAAAGGGTGAGAGTAAGCAACCTTGCCTGACACCGGTCTTTACTTTGAACGACTTTGTCAACTGTCCTCCATGCACGATTTTGCAGTTTAATCCATCATAGGAATTCCGTATGATATTGACTATCTTCTGAGGCACGCCGTAGTGTCGAAGAAGCTTCCATAGGGTTGTTCTGTCCACGCTATCAAATGTTTTTTCGTAGTCAATGAAGTTGATATAGAGTGATGAATTCCATTCAATTGATTGTTCCACAATGATCCGTAGAGTTGCGATTTGGTCTGTGCACGATCTATCCTTACGGAATCCTGCCTGTTGGTCGCGAAGTTGTGCGTCTACGGAGTCCTTCATCCTGTTTAACAATACCCTGTTGAAGAGTTTTCCTGGTATTGAGAGAAGAGTGATTCCCCTGTAGTTGTCACAGTTGCTGAGATCGCCTTTCTTTGGTATTTTGACTAGAAGTCCTTCTTTTCAGTCTTTTGGTACCTGTTCCTCATCCCAGATCTTTCTGAAGAGAGTTTGGAGTATCCTTGCAGTTGCCGCTACGTCTGCTTTCAGTGCCTCTGCTGGAATGCTGTCTAGTCCTGCTGCTTTGCCACTTTTGATTTGTCTGATAGCCATGCTGATTTCTTCAATTGTTGGTGGGCCAACATCGATTGGGAGGTCCGTGAGTGCTGCTTCGATGTTGGGTGGGTTTAGTGGGGCTGGTCGATTCAAGAGTTCTTTGAAGTGTTCTACCCACCTGTTTCGTTGTTCTTCAATGTTGGTGATTATCTTGTCTTCCTTGTTTTTCACTGGTCGTTCTGGTTTACGTTGATTTCCAGAGAGTTTCTTTGTTGTTTCATACAGTTGTCTCATGTTTCCTTCTCTGGCAGCCTTTTCCGCCGTCATTGCCAAATCTTCCACATATTTACGTTTGTCAGTTCTGATGCTCCTCTTCACTTGCTTGTTTACTTCTGTGTATTCAGCCTGTGCCTTGGCTTTTTCTGCTCTTGTTCGACTGGTATTGATTGCTGCCTTCTTGTTCCTCCTTTCTTGAATCTTATCTAGTGTATCGATCGTGATCCAATCCTTGTGATGGTGCTTCTTTTGGCCCAGAACCTCATGACATATTGCAGTGATTGCCTCTTTTATCTATTTCCAGTTGCTCTCCATAGTAGTTTCTTTTCCATTGAGTAGATCATGAAAGGCTTGGAACTTATTGCTGAGGGTTATCTTGAATTTATTGAGCTTGTCATTATCCCGAAGAAGAGCCGTATTAAATTTTTGTGATATTGTCCTCCCCGTTGTCCAGTGCCTCTTGAGTTTCAATTTCATCTTGGCGACCAGCAAGTGATGATCTGATGCTATATCAGCTCCTCTCTTTGTTCTCACGTCCTCCTGAACTTTTTGTTGATGCAGATATGGTCGATTTGGTTCTGTGTGGTGTGATCCGGTGAAGTCCATGTGGTTTTGTGTATTCGTTTATGTGGGAATATAGTCCCGCCTATGACCAGTTTATTGAAGGCACATAGATTTGCAAATCTCTCACCATTTTCGTTCCTTTCTCTGAGTCCGTGTCGTCCCATGATCTCTTCATATCCGGTGTTGTCAATTCCAACCTTGGCATTTAGGTCTCCCATCAGAATAGTCAGGTCTTTTGTTGGGCACTTCTCGACGATTGACTGCAGGCTATCGTAGAATTGATCTTTAGCGTCTTCATTGTAGTCATTGGTAGGTGCGTAGCATTGGATGACGTTCATTGTGATCCCCGTTTTCTTTGTTTTGAAGGAGGCTTTGATGATCCTTGGTCCATGAGATTCCCATCCTATATGTGCATTTTGTGCTTGTTTGGACAGCATCAATGCAACTCCTTGTGTATGTGGGGCATTTTCTTCTTCATGTCCGGAGTATAACAGCAGCTCCCCTGAAGCTAGTCGTTGTTGTCCAACTTGCGTCCAATGTGTTTCACTGATCCCAAGCACCTCTAGGCTATCTCCTCATTTCTGCAGCAATTTGGAAAACTCTCCCACATTGCGCGAGCATTCCATGTACCTAAATAAATGGTTGCTCTGGTTGTCAGAAAGGGCATCGGCCTCGTGACTTCCGGAGAAACTCGGCTTTCATCATGAGGCGTCATAATTCTTCTAAACGAAGACCTCCTGACTCCCAGGGCAGAGTTTAAATGGTTTGAATAATTTTTTCTGGTTAGCGTTTTTTAGCGAGTTAGTTTTCTACGGGATGGGGTCACTAACTCCATGCCCAACCCTCCTCCTTTATCCGAGCTTGGGACCGTCAGTAGCCCCCGGAAAGGGACTCCAGGCGGAGTTAATTTTATAAATTAGGCGATCACAAATAGCTAAATTAATGTTTGGTCATTTATTTACTTATAGAATTTTCAGTATAAAGTATTTCAACAAGTTTCCATTTCTTATTTCTTGATCGACGCTTACGATAAGTTATGGGTGGTTGCCAGTTAGATATTAGCAGTTCAGAAATCGACATCTGATTAGTGTATATTCTTTTCCATGCATATTGCTAGTAACCATGATGTCTCTGATTGAGGTCGTTTGTAACTTGTACAGCGAAATGTCGTGAACTTTTCATAAATGCACCTGAATAGGTTTTAGGACTAATAGACATTATGTGTTAAAACAAACAAGACAGATAATTTATTGAAATATCCAGATGTCAGGAACAGGTAGCCCAAATATTCAAGCAGGCCGTCTGACAACATAACACTAAAAATCTATCACAATTGATTGATCACTGGGTACTGATCACTGTCATGTCTTTATTAGTGCTGACCGAATGCTATCGATCAAGTTGTAATGTGGCCACTAGTTTAGGTAACTCGACATTTCGTGCACTATGTTGAAATTAGATGGTGGTTGAACGTAGCCAACAGGAAACCCTGGACCCGGGTTTCGTGCTACATGGCACTCGTCAGCAAGGTGTACCTGTAATCTTGAGGGAACTGGTGCTCCCTGAAGGATTCGATCCCGTGTTGCCCAGCTTCACAGTCAGAGACGTTACCACTGAGCTATCTGGGCCGCGACCGACCTCCTGTAGGACTGGAATATAATCACAATTGATTGATCACTGGGTAGTGGTCAATGTCATGTTTGTCAGGTCCTTTTTAGTGCAGATCAAATACTATTGACCAAGTTCCAATGTGGCTATTTTCTTTTTAAATCATTTATTTCTAACAATATAATGGATTGGTTGAAGTTAGACATCAACACCGTTGGATGCCGGCTCAGTGGTCTAATGGTTGAGCGCCGTCCAGTGCTTCCAGGTTTTCTATGGTGGTCTAGCTTCAATTGACTCATGATATAAACTAGTGAAATATAATAAAAGCCAATTGAGTTTTGTTATTTCCCCCTTAGAAAGAATCTTGTATACCCAAAAAAATCAAAGGTAAATCAGTTTAATTGTTTAACAAAACAATTTTATCAAGTAAAGTATATTTCTAAAGCAAAATAAATTTTCTAAAATTAAATTTTTTTGGTAGAAAAAACCCTTATCAATATACACACACGCACACACAAAACATGTGGACATTTTTTATTTAAAAAAAAAAAGAGAAACTCATTATCACATAATAATATAACCACATTGTTTATGTGGACTTTATATTCACAGAATAGTGTTACACTTGAAGGTAATAAAAAATAAACAAAAATAATAATAATTGAAGTATGAAGTGTGTTAAAGATTTCCACCACCTTGATTATGAACTTCTTGCATATGTTTTTCAAAGCTAAAATAAGCATGAAGAACAACAACATATAAAAATAAACAATCAAATGTAGAGAGAATACGAAAAGTATTCTTTTTTTAAAATGGTGTTTTGTTCTCTGAACTGGATGGTTTAGTCGTGGAGCTTTCATGGTCGTTTAGAAGAACGATGAAAGCTCCACGACTAAACCATCCAGTTCAAAGAACAAAATCATTCACTTGAGCTACAAATCTTCTCCAACATCTCAAAAATATTCTTCTACTTTAATTAGCTCAGATAAACGAGAAAAAACCGACAACAATTGAATAGTAAACTATGAGTATTTTTCATAACTTCTTTAACAAAATTAAGAAATGAAGGGTTTTGCAGGAATGAGGCGTTAGCAGTTTAGTGTTACTTACTATGGAGGGGTTTATCAGATTCGTTTGAGTAAAGGACTCGAGGCTAGTGAAAGTTAGAAAACTGTCTTAGCTTCTGTAAGTCTCTATCGTTCTACAGTAAATAATAACGAGTTCACGCTAAAAACCTTAAGGTGAGTAAACTACTATATAAACGGTCCATAATTAGTACAGACAGGGACAAAATGACCGAACGGATAAAAATAAAATGGTCAGTGAAATATGGGTAAGATATTCTTAAATAAAATACTATTTATGGTTGGGAATAATATAATTACAATCTGACAACGTCTAAATTGATGTGCCGATCTATTTGCATCAAGAATGGTCAAGTGACTTTTCTTTTTAATTTGCCTCTTTAATGTGTATCTACCGATTCAGCTGCTATTTTGGAGAAGGATGTATGAGGTTTGCCATTGGGTAATTTAACCAGTGGATGAGTAAACATCTCTCTGTATCGTTCGTAAACCGTCAAAGACAATAAGTAGTTCCGAGTTAACAAACTTGGTCAACAATGGTCAAGTGGTAAATAGAAACTAGTCGTTCAGAGTGATCTGTATGTCTTTGCAGTTTCCCAACACGGTTTGACTTCGTCTACTACATATAGTAGAGCTTACAGGGATTCGAACCTACAATCCCAGTTTGAATGTTTAGAACTTTTAAACATCTCTTTCACTTATATTGTCTGATAATACTACTTAATAGATAATTGTGCCAATTATTTAACAATCACTTTTGCTTCTTTCTACACTCTTCTGCCCATATATTTATGGAAACTGTTTGCATACTCTGATTATGCAATCTTAGTGATTTTTAATGAATGTTATTTCAGTGTTCATTTTCCAAAGGTTTAATCTACTTTTGATGTTAAAACACTTATTCAAGCTGTTATTATTCTTACCACTGCTACCAGACCTATCATCTTAATATCAATGATTATCCTTTACTAACTATGGTTAGTTATATAATCCTATTTAATCGTTGTTATTCACTCAATAAATACTTGTTTGATTGGTTTTTAACTGTTCACATATGAATACACATATAACTGTTGATGACGATCTTTCTACAAGATCTGCAGATCAGGAGTTCGAGAGTACATGCACTATTAATGAGTACTAAACTTATTTAAAAGATATTTGGTGTCTAAGCGTTTACTTACAGCACTCTTAAGTGTTACTCAATGTGAACATACAGAATAAATACTAGTATAAATGATATGGCATTCCAGTTCGACAATTCATCAAGAAATACTTACCGAGAATGACAATTTGCTTCAGTTTCCAAAGCACTATGCTGGAAATGAGCTGCTTTATACAATGCAATAAATATGAATAAATGTAAAAATATTGCATACAAAAACACACCCAAGCGAAGTCTACGATCGGAGCTAACAAAACGTCCCTATTGGGAAAACAACAACAGGAAAAAAATAACAGAAACATTGTAAAACAAATACTGTTCAAAAAAAGTGCCTAAGATATATACATACGTTACATTAAAAAAATATTTATACATTTGTAGGTTATATTTGTGACAGACTGATCTCAGTTAAAATGTCATTGAAAAATAGATATCGCTGAATAATATTCACCGTGAACCTGAAAGTCACGGGTTCAATCCTTGACAACCAAGCACTGCTAGAGAGTTCCTCTACTAGGATAAAACAACCACTATTCAGTGATTTCTTTTTTTTCAATGGTTGTGTTATAACTTATCAATGTTTTCCGAAATACCCGTCACCAATTGTTATAACTTGTCGTTTGAATGCTTACTTGTTGTATCTCGTCGTCGGAACGAGAGACCTCCGCAATCCCCACGACGCGAAAGTAAGAACACAAAGACTGGTATAAGTGAATATTTATTAACCCCCAAAACACAACCACGACGACGGCAACTTAGTCGAAAGCTCACTCATTTATATATTGATTGTACACCCATTTTGATTAACAATTAAAATGAAATCACATATATGATAAATACTTAGGATTATAACAAATCATATGATGAGTATAGTTCATGTTAACTTAATACAAGAATATCGTTATGTTATACAGAATAAAAGATCATACGAGAAAAGCAAAGAAATACTACATTGATTAATCAATAAATTGCATTAAAACAGAAATAATGTTGAATAAAAATCATAATGATCAATCAAATCAATTGAATTTTGACTTTTCGGCGAGACTCTAATTTAGGGACGACCTTTGAACGAATTTTAAGTGACCTTGAGAATAATAGCCAATTAGAAGACAGCTAGTATAACGTAGAAATATATTAGAAGAAACTAATGGATTACAGTGAATATACTTCTTTTACATGATTTAAAAACTTATCAAGGTTTTCTAAAGTTTCAGATGTTTTGAAATCATATTGCATACTGTATAAAAAGTCATAAATTCCAAGTACCTGTCGAGTATATTTACGGAAATGCTACTTACACAATCCTACTTTATACTACGTCTCCTGTTGTATTTTCGCTTTCTCACTGCCGTTTCATCTGTCTGCACGATACATCCTACTCCTCCGAATGATTGGTGTACAAGTGTTATTTTAGTTGCACGGCAGTACTCATACCACTGGACTGCTGAATTTTCATAAACAACTGCAAACGCCGCAGCCAGTGTTACTGGTGTATTTATTACCAAATTTGCAACTATTATTATAATCTGATTCAGTTTCAGTAGCAATCGGGCAAAGAAAGTCCCCGTTCTAGCAGACTTTCTCCTCCAACATGAAGGACAACGAAATATAATCTCACCACGGTGATTTGCACACTTTACTGCGGTCATTTGATAAGCGCAGTCTCACGTACAAGAACTTTTTAGTAATCCTATCCCTTGTAGCCTCTCAATAATCACCCCTTCTCTAAAATCCGCTGTAAACCGATCATATGTGAGCATCAGGGGTTAAACTTGGCTCCGTGACCTTGAAATGGCTCAAACGCTTCTGATTGGCTCGTCCTTAAATTAGAGTCTCGCCTTTAAAACATATTTCCTGAATTGAATACAGAGTTCATTAGAACTGAATAGATGTTAAGGGTCAGCAACACTTGATATGAAGTCATTAAGGTTTGATTTTTCTGAAAAAGTTTCAGCAAATCTCTTGAAAATCTCATTGGTAGATAATCGATCACTAGAATAATCAAAACTTCGTTAGGCTCTTGATTATCATTTGATACATCCGACAAATTTTTCTCATTTTTGTAAGAAATTTGATCAAAAGTATGTGAGTCATTAAGATAACTCATATTTGATAAAGCAACTAGAGAACCCAGATAAGTACATTCATCAGGAACTTTTGTCGCAGAATGATGAGCTCCATTTAATGCAACTGTCTTTATTATGCTGCTTGATTCATTTTCTGTTTCTTTGTGGGCGGGTACTGCAATAATTTCAGGAGCATTTAATAAAACATCGTCCTTCTATGAGCTGGACAAGTCAGTGTTTGTACATTGTGTTTCGGGGACTATGGGATTTGAACCCACGACAGGGCATGTCTCTGAAATAGATATTTCTGGACCACTGGGCGGATCATGAACGACTGCTACTACTTCGTTTACATTACCGCTTATCAGGGATTCACGGAGGCTTTCATCGACATCTCCATACGTTCTGTAGTCATTTTCCAGCTCTGTATGCAAATTAGAAATTAATTCAGCAACTTCTATCACATCTCCAAAAACATGGATGATTTACCAGCCGTGTGCGTAAATTGCCTAAAACATTCAACTGGCTTTTTTTGAAACGCTTCTGCTGTCGCTCAAATAGCAACTGTGATTGATCGGAAGAGATAGCCGTTTTCTGAATCAGCACGGTGATGAAAAATATTGTATGACTAATTAACAATCAATGTTGTTCAAGGACACCGGCGAGAACCCTGTATGCTCATTGCTTGAAATAACTACACTGAATTTTGTCCAATTACAGGCTGACCTTGATTCGTTAATTTTAAGATTGAGGATTCAGGATTCTCTTTCACCCCGTCTCCCATTGTTATAACTTTTCAATTTTTTTCAGAAATCCCCGTCGCCAATTGTTATAATCTGTCATTTGAATGCTTATTTTTATATCTGATCGTCGCTAATTGTTAAGCCGGAAACGCTTATCACTTGTACCTGGAACCGAATGTCATAATAGAACGTTGCATCGGAAATGTACTGTACCTTGTCCGGAGAAATGTCGGAACGTGTATAGGACACATAAATCAAATTCAAAGGGACGGCAGAACATTGGTCCCACAAAGCCGACTCCCGTTTCAATTGCTTGTGGATTCATCTCGAAAAAACCCTCAGGAGCGCGAATGTAGAAGAGATAAAAGACTCATGGGCAAAGCGGCACAACCTTCGAGAGTGATGAACCGCAAGAGAAATACTGTAACCAAGGTTCAGGTGGATCCGAGGAAAATGTCCTACACAACAGACTTAAAGGGGGGTGGGGGTGCGAGGACGGTTCACGGGTGAACTCGAGGAAGCCTTAAGAAGCTCAGAAAGAGCCGAAGATATTCCATCCAATCATCTTTTGGAAGAGTATTCTGGAATCTCTACGTGTAGCTTCCCCATTGGACAATGCTAATAACCCCCTTTGTGCGGATTGGATAGCTATAATGATGGTTTCGTTTTTACTAAAAACTATAAATACCTGATAGTTTGTACTCTAGTTTGACAGTCTGGAATAACATTCTTTTCACTAGTCTTCTGTCTTCTCATTGTGACTTGGAAGGGTTCTAGCGTCCAAGTGCTCGAGTTATACGCGTCATATCAAGAAAATAAGTATCTAGAGATATAACAGGTTGTCTACAAATTAAGACCAGATCCATAAAGTAAACTATGAAAGAAAGGCAAACATAATAAACCAACATACCAAATGTAACATCAGTTTTTCATATGGTTGTAACTTTTTATACACTCGTTGTTTCTCATATCGACTAAATTGATTGAAAGGATTTAACTGAGCTTCATAAACCTGTGAATATTTAATGATAGTCGCATCATTTGACTCATGATTTTGAGAAGGTGATGGAGATAATGACGTTGTTACCGATGATGAAGAATGCTTATTAGATAAATTATTTGGTCGATTTTGTATTACAGGACTACCATATGAGTGTAAGAAACGTATTTTCTCGTACAGTTTAACGTTATCAGCTCTTACTGATTCAACTTCGCGTTGAAGTGATACCAACTGTTGGCGTAAATTTATTTCATTCTGGAAAAAAAATAAATAAATTAGAAAAAAATTTGTATTACGTAATTGGAAGATATTCAATGCTTTATTTCAATCTGTTGACAATATAGTGAAATAATTGCATGTTTAGTACACGAATAATATAGTGCTTTCAAAGTCGTGCAATTACATCTGTATGAAGGAATCTTTTGTAATTGACCCAACTGAAATAAAAGTAGTTCGAAATTTATTTCTTTATGATATGATACTTTGGAATAAATGAAAAAAATGATTGAAACGGGTTAGTTTATAATTTGCCACATAATAATTGATTTCATTGATTGCTAAGATTATGTAACTAGTGTGGTTATGAGTGCTAATAGAAACGTCTTTAATCATTATTTTGTTTGTAAATAGTAGAAAGAATATAAATTAAAAACAAAATTCTAATTGAATATTTATGGCTGAAATTGTTAGTATTGTCCATAACTAACCAATCAAATTGTTGCTTAAATGCCCATCACGTTAATCTGGTCTGAGGTGATTGTAGACTATCCCTATTACATGTAACCTGCCAATTGAATGACATTATCCTGTGACTAATAATTTTTATTCACTTCGATAAGACAGGCAATACTGGTTGGTATAAACAGATAACGTTTGAAATCAAGTTGTCCTTGTTCTGAATATATCAATCAAATAGACTATGGGATTGTCAGTAGAATAACTGTAGGACAAATGAAATCCAACAGAGATATTTCCGTTACGATTATTTATTATTAAATATAAATACCACTCTTTTTCTGTTATTTTACGGTTAAAATATCATGCAAGTCATGTTAATTGAAGAGTAAGTTCGATTGAAAATAACAAATTTCAAGTACGTGAAAGAATTCCCATTATGCTATTTCAGTTACAAACAACATAGAATCTGGGAAATATATGCATTGATTCAAGTTACTATACCATATTACCACTGCCAGATAAAATTATCAAAACAAATGTTAGAGTGGTGGAAGTAGCTACAATCTCAAAGATAGTAAAAAAAGAATTAAGTATAAATAATATGAGGATATACGGTAATTTTAAAATTCAAGATTTAAGGGAAGCTAAATAATGAATGCACCTGAGCCATGGCATCCAACATCTAGAGCCATTGATTGTAATAATTAAAAGTTATTAATGATAACCGTTTTTTCTAAATAAGAATTAAAATCAGTTGGTCTAAAAATTACCACCCATTTTGCTTTAAGGATTTTTGGTGTTGGGAAAAATGTTTAGAAAGCTAATACTACACACAGGAGAGATTACATAACGAAAGGCTGTGTATATGTGACTACCGTGCTAACAACTGAATTATATTCGCTATCAAATATATTTCCTACGTCTTCTAATATTCCGACTATTACTGAGATAATTTTCACAGTCGGTACTAACTGTTCAAACCGAAAATCTTCGAATCTTACTGAATGTATCATGCTTACATTAATAAATAGTATCAGGTTCGAGTATATATGTATGTATGTACTCAATGTCCGTTGACCGGATACCACCAACAACAACCTACTATGACAGAGAACAAACCAGATTTCAGTGGAAGAAGAAATTAGGAAAAGACGTTGGAAGTGGATAGGACATACATTACAGAAATCACCAAATGGTACCACGGGGCAAGCGCTAACTAGGAGTCCTTAGGGTAAAGGGAAAAGAGGAAGGTCAAAAAGCACACTGTGCCGAGAATTGGAAGCAGACATCAGAAGGATGAATAGTAGCTGGAAAGGATTGCCCAGGACAGAGTTCGATGGAGAATGTTGGTGAGCGGCCTATGCTCCTACATGAGGGATAACAAGCGTAATACATTATCGATTATGTATAGGTGTACACTAGTGAGGAACCCCGAGCCAGGACGAAAGGATTGTTATAGTACTTTTTGACTTTTAATGGTCGTTGACACTGACGTCAGTCCTTCTCATATCTTCCACACTATCACTGATACTGTGGTGTGTGCTACTTATGTAGACATAAGTAGTATATGACACGAGTTAGGAACGTAATGTCTGTCAGCAGAAGATGGGGGAAGATCAAGAAAGGAAGAGCGGGAACACAGTAGAATTTGTATGGAAACTCATGAACAATGAAAGGACAGACAATCGATTGATGTTTGCAACAGGAACAGTCAAGTTTGATATGATGGATTGTTATTTTGCAAATTAACGATTCACTATATGATTGTTAGATTTTAATAACTAGTTCTGTAATTTGTTGTCAAATACATTCGGTTGTTCACACTAGTGTTTTGTTCACTACAATACTACAGTGTTATACATCTTGAAAATCTCATCGAGATGTGGTGACGTAATGCAGAAAATTGTTCCAAGTTCTAATTTGCTTATGACTGACTGATTGATTAAGTTCATGACATATTAACATTTTCAGATGTTTTATTTAATTTAAAATGTATTAGGGTAATTAAAAGTCAAACAAGAGGATATTAATGAAAAATATCTAACAACAATAGAGAACAAAAGTATATGAAATTGAATTATCACAAATTTCAATAATGGAAAAATAGGAAAGCATAGCGAAAGAAATTAATACAATGATATACACTAGATAAAGAACATGTGGTTGCACCGTATGTAACTTTTTCTTGGTTTAGAATGATTAACTCCATTTAGGGTCTGATGTGTGGCAAGAATGATTAGTTGTCTGCATAGTCAGACATGTAGATAGTCTGACGGGCGTCAGATGAGTTATATATTCCTTTATCCTTATTATTATTACGACTCACTTATTACTGATTGTTCATTGTTGTTGGATTGTGTCGGGTTTTTAGTGTGGAAAGATATTTACGTTATCGTCAGGTTAACCACGTGTTCTTGATCTGAGTTGTGTAAAAGTCCTGTAGAATAGATACTGGGAGGAAATCTAGTGTAGATATTCGTCTAAGGTAAATTAACGTGTAAACGTGGAAACCCAACCGTTATAACATTAGACGGAGTAAAACTGAGCGTTTTAACAACTGGCAACGGGGCGAAAAATATAGAACCAAGGGTACAAAACCACAAGTTATAACAGGACCAATATTATTAGTTAGAGATTTTCAACATCTTCAGGACTCTACCTACAAAAATGCACTCTTTTCATACAACACATTCAAACTTTATATTATGTTCATTATATGAAAGTGTACTATAGAATAAATTCTGTTGTAAAACAAACTAGCATAAAAAGGTAAACCACCTAATAGAAAAAAAGGTGACTGTTTTCACTGACTAACCTGCTCTAATTCTTCAGCTCGTGTTCGAAATCGATCACGTTGATTTTGTACAATGTTTAATAATGATTGATTGTCTACAAGTACATGTGTATATTTGCAATAAATTGGGACAATTAAAAAAAATCAAACTAACATAGGTTATATATAAATGACAATGTCGAAAAACGTCAATGACACTTCGAAAGAAACCATAAACACTACTATCGTTAAGATATATGGCCAGATTTTACACTTACATCATATTTTATGTAAAATTAAATTTAATTTGTCATAAACAACGTAGAGATCCTGGTACATTTGTGTACTGACTGGATTTGTTATACCACATTAACACAGTGAATTGAAATGAACAAGACGAATAGCGAAAGATTCTAAATTAATGTAGTAGGCATGATAAGCCCCTAAATGCCTTGGTATGGCCGAGAGTGGAGAGAGTCAGCTCTCCCTCTTGAAATGCTCTCACATGGCCACGCGTATATAACCTCTGCCAGGGAAGTTCTACACACTGCATTCTCGTGGCATTACTGTTGTTTACGAAATTGAGAGGACGAAAACCGAATGTCGGGCGCTTTACCCGGGTCGGTGGACACGGTGTGTCCTCCTAGGGGAGTTCGAAAACCCTCATTCAAAACCAATGGTGCACATGGGCTCCAGTATCCTGAATAAACAAATGGCATATGAACCGATCGCTGATCACCGGTTATCATGGGACTGCATCTCCTTACGATGCTCCACTGCCTTGTGGATTAGACCTTTAGGTCGAAGGCTCTGAGTGTGGCTCCCTAAGAAAACAACCTGTTTCGGTTTGGGCACCCAGGCAGTATCTCATCCCTTACACAAATCAAATGAGATTTGCGTGGCGCATATGTATCTGGTGCCCCCTTATACCAATATCTGTGTTCAAATAATAATAAAGGCATGAAAACGAGGAGTGAACATTGAGAATTTGATTCGAAAAGACAATGAAAAGGGACGTATTAAAAAATTTAATGTAAAGCAAAAAAGAATGAATGGATTTGTGTTATTGTGACTGATTCTGAATAACGTCGGCTTAATGTTTTTTTGCAAATCCCACTCTTCAATTTAAAAAAACTCGAGTTAAAGAGAATAAAGTCACAAGATGAACATGAGACTTTCAGTTTCTAAGTTAGCCATTAATCTTTATACCGAAATTGAAAGTAATAAAACTGACAAACAGTAGTTATTAAGCACAAATACTTGAAATGTATAGTCGTTATCGTAAGTACTTTGATGTATTGCTGTAGTCTAACGATTCGTATATTTAACTGTTAGGTCTTGAAGTGGATTAAGGAACCAAGAACTAAATCTCAACGATTTTTACAATCTACCACATGGAGGCATATATGTAACTGGTAAATTAAGGTGTTTTAAAAAAATCGACTGTTCGAAATGAACTTTTAACATAATCACTTTGATGATTGCTATCCATAAACATTATGAAAATAATAAACGAGAATAAAATGAGTGTAGTTTTTGAAGTCAAATGTAAATAATCTAAACTCCCAACCGATAATGGAAAACGTTTTAATTTGTCATTGAAAAAAGAATTATGTCAAAACGTGTGTAGTGAGTGATCTAAAAGAAAACGTACATTTACTAATGTACAATAAAGACATCTAGTTTTAGTTGTACAATATAATATACCGTCACATTGATGGTATAGTTAAATGTGATGGTCTACAAGGTGTAATGAACTGAGATAGAGAAAACAATATATTAAATGCGCTATTGAAGGAGCAACACATTAATCAAGATTATGTTAATAACACTGAAACAATAAGTACCATATGTTATAAAGGTCATTAGTAAGCAAGTATTTAGACATTTCAATGGCGATGATAATGATATTACAGGACTAAACTCTCCAAGACTAAATAAACCAATCGACAAAACCCTATCATCTAACCAAGTTTGCTTTACTATACAAAGCAAATTATTTATTATTGTAATCGAAAATCTCTGGATGTATTAACAATGAAAGAAAAAGCATTGAATACATTAGATTCTATGGATATATTAATCAGTCTAGAATTGCTGTTATAAGTATGTAGGAAGCTGTTATTTCACAGTTACCTACATTGTGGAACAATACCTTTGAAACACCTGGAAAGTTCTCTTGGAACGCTAAAATTGTAGCGATCTTGGTGACCCGTGAACGCTAAAACAGTGCTCAAGGAACAACTGTTTAAACTCAATTGCATATGACCTTTTTGTCAGTAGTTCTTGATATATTAGCTCTATATTTTAAAGTCCTTACTACCAGCAACATAAATCCATAGGTTAAGGTGGGGTGTGTTATTTTTAAGGTCAGCATTTTCTAAACCCTCCAATTATGGGAAGGCAGCATCGTTGTGAATGTTAGCTGTCTGAGGAAAACACGTCACTTCCGCGACACCTCAGTACAACCGGCAGTGTGAATTCGCCTTCAAACCCCAACTTGCTTCTTTTAGTTTAGCCATTCTCTAACCGACCTGCTCCAAATGATAGTACCTACAAGAACAAGTGCTCAAGTCAATATCGATCGACTATGTTATCGCGATAAGCAATTCTAACCATTACGTTACGTTAGCAGCTATGGTTGGGAAGAATATTGCAATAAATGAGTGCTTGATAGAACGAAAGATAAATATTTTTAGTACTACCTGCTCTTGACTTGTGGTTAATACACCACAACGTTAGATAAACGATCCAAAATACTTCGCAAAATAATTAAAATGTGGAAAACCATTTAATTATTTTTAAATTTACTGAAGTTAGTAAACCCCTAAAAAAATATTTATATGCTTAGAGAGAAGCAGTCATAAGATTTATAGGTTCAGATTTGCGCAAAATAAAGTAAAAATATATCTCCCATCATCAACCTTTAGATCCTATGAGCAAACTGAAATCTAACTTTACAAAACAATGCTTCAATGGCTAATACTTCGAGTGACACTAAATTACTCAATAAAGATATCAATTCATTTTTCGACTGTATCAACACTGATAGTAGCACTAAATAAACCGTCACATGTTTACTCGTGTTCTCAATCGTTGGTATATTAAAGAGAAAATAACTATTTAACTTAAACGTTTAAAAGGATTGATAGTCTTTCACATAGCATGTATGTAATTTGCAGTACGTCAGCCAGTTATATGCAACAGAGAACCTGTCATGTATATGCATGAGTGCAAGCTGCCACATCATTTCAGCGGAACGAGGTGAGATCACCGATAAATTCCAGAGACAAAAAGGTATTAACGGACTCACTAGTAGTAAGAAACACTAATAATAGACAATATGATTCGAAAAAGAACGAATCCGTGGAACAGACAAGTATGAGATAAATTTAAAACTTAAGATCTGAAGGGAAACGAAGAGTGAATGCATTTATCCCATTGGAACCAATCCTGATTCACGTCCCACAACGTCTCCAACCATTAGTTACGATAATCAAAAGGACTCAAAGCACGTAATATGCACCTGCCAACATGACTCACACCTACAACCAATGAATTGATGGATTAATGCCACGTCTTGATTTGGCCGCCATCAGATTTTTCCGACAGACTCCTAAACCAGTAAATATCAGGTGTTGAAGTACAGAACGATTGGTCAAACATCTCAACCATATCACACGTTAAAGATCTACTCCCTCACCAATCGATTAGTAATAAGTAGGTGGGAAACAATAAATTCATTATTATGGAATTTACAATCTAACTATCCATAAGTTGTTATTATAAATAGCACAAATGGATAGGAAAAAAGTATTTTTACAATACAGATAAAATAACACGAAATTTTCTAGCAACAATATTATCAACTATTGTTACTTACATTGACTTGGTTTTTGGTCACCGATAACTTCTGCAAGATGGTGACTTTCCAATCGGTTCCTTGAATCGTTTAACTTTAATGATTCATCCAAATTTGTCTGCAAACGATAAAGATCAGATTCCAACAATTTTATTAATTCTGTTTGCTCTTTAATTCGTTGATTGGCTTCAACTTCGTTTGATTGAACTTGAGTAAGTTCAACTATTGCGATAAAGGCAACAAAAAGAAGAAACATTTATGAAAAGTAACCTTAACGATAACCAGGAAGAATAAAGAGAAATCCTTCAGATAAAAGTCAAATATAAAACATATACCAATATACAGTAACAGTATAAGTTTTAGTTAAAAAAGTTAAATGAGCAGCACATGGGCTCCAGTATCCTGAGGGAAAAAATGACGTATGAACCAATCGTTGGTCACCGGTTACCATGGGATCGCATCTCCTGACGTCGCTCCACTGCCTTGTGGATCAGATATTTAGGTCGAAGGCTCCGGGTGTGACTCCCTAAGAAAACCTCCTGCTTCGGGTTCGGGCACCCGAGTAGTATCCCAGCCCTCACACAAATCGAATGAGTTATGTGGCGCATATCTATTTGGTGCCTCCTTGTACCAATGTTTATGTGTTTAAATAAATAAATAAAAATAATCGAGTTCCCATTCATTTGCCTTAGGGTTAGACAAACCCCAACCATTCGATAACTGGGAATCACCAAAGGCCCGTACCTAATCTCACGACTAAGTTACAATGGTAACAAAAATCACATTATTAAGCCTTTTGCGATGAATATCGTTGCTTTAGAATCCAAAGCTAAAAATTAATGCGGGTGGTCGGATGTAGTCGGCAGGAATCCCTGGACTTTATTTTCGTGCTATTTGACAGTCATTCGTCTAAAACTTTGCAACCAACTATATTTCAATGCTGAAGGAAGTTAATCACGATACAAATCGCTAAGTGATGACACCTGGGAGTTTGAAATTGGATGACGCGGGTTCGAATTTCACTGAGGCATCAAATGCTCTAAGATTGCAAGTGCACCATAGCGACGAGTCCCAAGTAATACGAAACCTAGATTCAATGTCTACTGTCAACTACCTCCAACCAAATTACACTTTATTTTATTTATTTATTTTAACACATAGGTATTGGTACAAGGAGGCACCAAATACATATGCGCCACACGAATCTCAATTGATTTGTGTGAGGGCTGTGATACTGCCCGGGTGCCCATAGTTATCCTTCAGCAGTGTCCTCTCAATATACTTGACTCGGGCCCCTGAAACGAATTTGACCTACTGCCCCAGGGATTGTATGTATTTTATGAAAAAATATAACCTTCTATGTACAATTTCTTCTCAGTAATTATTAATTACATTTAAATAATTATCACTTACAAAAAAATTTTATACTGAAAAATATCGAAATTGAGTGAATTTATAACAGAAAATACCAGAATATAACAGAGTATTATAACCGAATTTTGTACAATTCGATCTAATCTTAAAAGGAACATTTATCAATGAATTATTTCATAATCTTACGCTTATAGATATACTTAATATAAACTTCAGTTGTAAATAATTTTTGTAATTTCCTTTAGTTTATACATTATTTTGAACAGTAGATTGTTGTTTAAATCGACCTTGAATTTCCTCGAACACTATTTGGATGTTACACTGATTATTGTACAAAACATTAAACCGCTCCATACGTCACTTATCATTCTTACTCATTTTTTGGTTTTATATATCTGTAGTATATATTTATGGATTGTAACTTTCAACATTACTTGACCAACTATGTAGCATTATCTTGGATTATATCACGCTTTTTAGAATAACCGATTATCTATCATAATTGTGAACTTATTTTTGGAACAGTTGACCACACAACCATTAGCGACTTAGAAATAACTGTAGTATAACTTATATACATGCCTATAGTTTTCGTACCTCAGTAACTCATTGTACACACTTATTTATGCATAACGTTTCTATTTATTAAGTATTTGTGTTTTTGGTCCGCTACAATTTAAATCTCATTTTATCAGGATGATCTGCCGAACCATTAAAAAATCCAATCAAAGGATAAAATTTCAATTGAAGTCATTTGTCAGGTAAGTTAGAATTCCGAAAAAAAGTTCAGTGACATTCATGTAGTATAGTATATAAATTATTTGTGGAGTGATTTCAGAAGATTCTCACAGAAATGTTAGCATTATAGAATTGGATTTCAAAGAACATCACGACCTATTTATATGGATACACTGTACTAAAATAAAGTACGAAATACGTATCGTAAAACGGTGGCTTCAGGGTTGAATTTAACAAACTTCAATCATTCAGTAAAAGTTGTACAACCGCCTTGTTTTTGTTAGAACAGCCCGGTAGTAGTAGCAGTGTTACTTCTTACACATAAAGTGTGTTTTAAGACTAAAAATATAAATCCATAGTTTGTACATGATTTACATCGATTAACTCATGAAATAAATGCTAAAAAATTAAATATAGCTCTTATAACACCTACTTTGTAACTTTTCGCGCAAAGTGTTTGCTTCGGCCAACTGATTCTCCAATGATTTATTCTTTTTTAAAAGAAGTACTTCCAATGGAGCACGATTAGATGTTTCGTCTTGAATAAAATTATCCGATCCATCTAGCTGAACATTTTCAGGAAATTCAATCGAGTGTAAAAGAGATAGTTCGCGTTTTATTTCTTCGTAATCAGATTGATTGTCAAGTTTAATATTAGCTGCTTCCAGAGAAGCTTTGGTCTGACAAATTGTTGTTTGCAGCTCTTGAATACAATTTTCTAGATTCTTTTCGTTGGATGACTTCAAAGATTTGAGTGATTCCAACTGGTCGAGTAATGACGATTTCTAGAACCGGAAATAAAAAAGTAATCTTGGCAACTATTCTAATACACCAAACGGCATTTACCCAAAAAGCTCGAAAGTAGAAAAGGATTTCCGAAATCCTTTCAAAAAACCAAGCAAAAGAGTGGTTGATGGTTAAGTAAAAGCAGTTATTGGAAGCGAAAGTTATATGTGTAGAAGTGAAAATATTAGGTTTAAGTTAAGAAATTACTAAGACATGAATCAATGAATACTGACTGGCCTTTGTTATGAAAGAATCCAAATCCCTCGTTCATGCAGCTCGGAACTCCTAGAAACTCATTTTAGACGATTAGTTATCATGTCACATAGAAAGCATTGATACTGATTTGATCATTGACAGTATTTTTATTTAACTTGAATGTTTGGTACGTAACGATGTTTACACAGAACTTTAGTACGACCACTATCTCGACCTTGACATTATGGTCAGAATTGCTTATCGCGATAACACAGTCTTGACTTGAACACTTGTTCTTGTAGGTACTATCATTCAGAGTAGGTCACACTGCCGGTTGTACTGAGGTGTGGTGGAAGTGACGTGTTTTCCTCAGACAGCTAACATTCCCATAATTGGAGGGTTTAGAAAATTACTCACTTACTTACTTTACTTTACTTACTTACTTACTTACTTACTTAATTAATTAATTAATTAATTATGACTGTTATATATGGATACACTGTACTAAAATAAAGTACGAAATACGAATACGTAGAAATAGTACACCCCATATATATAGATTGATATCTAGTATTTTTAAACCTGAAAACAAACCTTATTGGACTTACTTGTTGAGAACAACTGGACAGTTCAAATTCAAGCTCTTCAATGCGACATTGAAGTCGACTAATATCTGCGATGGGTAACTTTGGGATATCCGCATGATCCTCACGTAATTTGGCCAGCTCTGCTTCAGCAGAAGCAAGTTTCTGAAGGGTTGTGAAAATGAAAAAGCTCGAATATGGATTACCAAATTTTAAACGAAATATAACTGTGGTGTTTGAATGAACTAATGATTCCTTTGTACCGGTTGAATGCCTGATTTCGAATTCTAAATACAGTACATTCGTTCATGCTTATGTAGTAGTTCTTGATCCAATTACGTTATTTCTGGGATTATTAGTTCATACGATAATTCAATTACTCCTAATTATCATAATGGCGTCGCGATGGGGCCTGCGATGGAACAGTTAGATATTCATTCGGATTTTGATGCTTATGAGGATTACTTTGAAAGGTTTGAAATCTGGGCTATGACCAAGGAAGATGATGAGGATATTAATATTGTGGCATATTTTCTCACATTCATCGGAAAAGAAGCATATATCTTATTAAAAATTTTGGCTTTACCGGAAAATCCCATTTCTCTTCCTTATACAACTCTCAAGGAACTACTGCTGGACTATGTTAAGTATACAAATACCGAATGCAGTAAAGGGAGATTTCGTTAAACGATTCATGAGGACATAAAAAATTCCACTACATTACGTCACCCCATCCCAGTGCATACTCAAGGTTATGCAGATAATTCATTGAGGAGTTGCAATGCAGTTCACGAAGATGGGCACACTTTTGGTCAATGTTTGTCCTGTGGCAGGTTCCACTCTTTTAATTCATGTAAATTTCGTGAGCTGCAAACACGTGAAAATCAGGCTGGCTTCAGACCTGGTCGTGGCTGCATCGACCACATATTCACCATTCGTCAGGTTCTAGAACACAGGCATACTTATCGGCGTCCGACAATGGTGGTATTCCTTGACTTAAAAGCAGCGTTTGACTCTGTTGACCGAGAGGTTCTGTGGCAGTGTCTGTCATTGAAAGGCGTACCTCAGAAGTACATAAACCTTGTGAAGGCTCTTTACTCGAACACTACTAGTCGGGTCAGAGCCTATGGCGAACTGTCATCTGCTTTTGCAACCTCAAGTGGCGTCCGTCAAGGCTGTCCACTTTCTCCTTTTTTGTTTAACTTTATCATAGACATCCTGATGGAAATAACGCTCTCATCGACTGACTTCTCGGGTATTGATCTCCTACCAGGAGGTCCACTTATTGACTTGGAATACGCAGATGACATAGTCCTGTTTGGTGAAGACGCTGACGAAATGCAGAGTCTTTTGTTAGCACTGAGCAACAATGCCCGAATGTTTGGGATGCGCTTTTCTCCCTCTAAATGCAAGTTGTTGCTTCAGGACTGGTCTGCATCAACACCTGAACTAAGGATAGGGGGTGAAGTAGTCGAACGCGTTGACAACTTCACTTATCTTGGAAGTCTGATCAGCCCTAATGGGTTGGTGTCTGACGAAATCTCAGCACGGATTCGAAAAGCTCGCTTGGCCTTTGCCAACTTACGTCATCTATGGCGAAGGCGAGATATCCGTCTATCAATTAAGGGACGAGTATACTGCGCGGCAGTTCGTTCCGTCCTTCTATACGGCTGCGAAACATGGCCTTTAAGAGTGGAAGATATTCGTAAGTTACTAGTATTTGACCACAGGTGCCTTAGAAATATTGCGGGTATCTGCTGGGATCACCGGGTAAGTAATAGTGAGGTTAGACGCAGGGTATTAGGGAATGATGGTAAATCAGTTGATGAGGTTATGAATCTTCATCGACTGAGATGGTTGGGCCACGTGTTGCGTATGCCTGAACACCGATTACCACGACGCGCAATGCTGACTAGTGCAGGGGATAATTGGAAGAAAGTTAGGGGCGGCCAAACCAAAACGTGGCATCAGTGCTTGAAGTCACTAACTTCTGGTCTGAGTCATGTTGGGAGATTCAGACTGCCTGGTTGGGGTCCGCGTGACTATCGTAACCAATGGTTGGAGACTCTTGGTGACATGGCTCAGAATCGATCACAATGGCGTCGGTGTATACACTCTCTGTCTTCCTTAAATTAAGAGATTAAAATCGCTTCATATCTGTCTAGGAACTAATTCTTTCTTCCTTTACTATCTCCTTATACACAATCTTTCTTCTATATATTACCACCACTGAATAAACTACTCCTATGAATCCGGTGTTCATCTTGTTGTGCTAATGCGGTATGGCAACTTGGACCGATGCATATACGTGCCTGGTCCTACGTTGCAGCTGACTGACTGACTGATGTAAATTTCGTAATTCTAAGTGTTTTAAATGTGGTGATATTGGACATATTCACTCAGTTTGTAATTCTGATCCTAATAAGTTGAGTATTTATAATGATCATTTATTTTTATCAACGATTTCAAAAGACAATTTAGAGTCATATAGCAGTTCAGAGTTAAATGAAACTCAGAATCCTTGCGAGAAAACAATTTCTAATGAGTCAACATATCAGATTTCTCATGTTATTGTACCAGATATGATTTTTCCTAATGATTCACATATTTCTGGTGAAATTTCTTACAAATCTGGTCAGAATATTTCGGATGAACCTAATCATGATCGAAAATCTGATGTAGTTTTGATTGATGCTGATTTTTCTGATCCTTTGCTCTGCAATGACATTCTTAATAAATTTGAAGAAACTATTTCAGAAGTATCAAATCTTGATGTCATATTAAATATTACTTGTCCTCATAATGTATTTGTTTTTTTATGGGAAACTTGTTCAGTGCGAAGCACGAGTATTAAATGAGCTCGATTCTGACTACAATTTAGATGATTCCATATCAACTGTTGTTTATCCTTATTATAAATTCACTTCCAATGTTTACTCCAGTCAAATTGAGAAAGATGTTTTAAATGAAGCCACATTATTCATAACTTGGGGATATGAAGATCCGACATTATTTCGTGGGGGAGGATAGTCTATGGTTCATATTCTAGGTAGTAGTTTCAGTACTCAACCGGCATGGTGATTGTTCACAATCCCCGAAATCAAGTGAGTCTGTTACGATTTCCGTTGTTAATTCTAATACTAATGAGTGCATTCTAGATAATACAGAGTCTTTATCCAATACACTGTCGGAAAGACAGGATGAACTTAAGAAGATGTGCATTCAATAACAGACACCTGAACTCCGATTTAAGCTGTGGCGGATGTGGTGTTTGAATGAACTAATGATTCCTTTGTACAGTACATTCGTTCATGCTTATGTAGTAGTTCTTGATTCAATTACGTTATTTCTGGGATTATTAGTTCATACGATAATTCAATTACTTCTAATTATCATAATAACTCAGTAAACACTTAAACTTCCGGACTATTTAAATTTTTGGACTAATGGGTAAAGTCGGATTACACATATATTTACAGAAACTACACCATATACGACATTAATAGAATTTAACGTTATTTTTAGAAAAATGCATTTTATTGCATAAATTGTCGGAATTACCGGGTAAAACGTTGACAATCAGCCACCAGACTAGAAAAAGTAGATAGATATGTCAAACAACACGTTATCTACAGTGCATACATTCTTCTCTAACTAATATTTGGTAGATGTATAAGATTTAAAAAGGTGTGAGGATAATGATAGATGGTCACACCAAAAACGTTCAAGTTCCTATGAAAGATTTAGCTAATAAATTGATGCAATTCATTGTGTTTTTCTGGTTAGCGTTTTTCTAGAGTTAGTTTTTCATCGTATTAACCATAATTTTAGTTACATCTAATGGAGGAAGCATATGAGAAGAAAAATATGTATCTCATATAATTTCAAGAAATTTTCACATTACTAGGACTTTCCTCTAGCGAAAAAATTCTATATGAGCTTTTTTACATTTATTAGGAAAATCCTTGCTGAGACCATGTTTGTGGAGTAATGAGAAATATTTATTTACGTTGCTTATACTAAAATACCTAACCAAGAGTACATAAACAACCGCATAGCGGAATACCTAAAAATGATTTCAGTGAAACAAAAGTTCTTGTATCTTATGTGAGCATAAAATTAGATTATTTACCACAAAACAAATCGATCGGTGACTGGAACTGTGGTCGATTGCGCTTAAAATTTTCCCATGACTCGCTACGCTAGGTTCATCACTAAAAATGCCGAAACTTACAAATAAGATTATTTAGAAACGAAGCTATTTACTACGAGATAATTGTTTCTCAATACCAAAAGTTCCCACTAAAAACCAATACGAATGTTAACAAAAGACAATTTGAATACAAGATAAGGACTACTACTTACTGCATTTGATTTCTCAAGATCATCCATAAGTAACTCAAGTTCGGAAGACCTATCAAAGAATTACAGTGTTTGAACATAAAGTATTAAATTAACCTGCCGGTTTCTGTAGCGTTCGCTTCTGTTTTAAGCCTAAATAATTCAGATTGTGCCATTTCCAGTGCTAAAATTTAAAGAATAATATTTTAACATGCGAGTTGTGCCAAAATAGCTCATCATAATTTGTGGACAATATTTGAGTCGATGAGAAATTGTTTCTTCCAATACCTTAGCGGCTAGTGGATACAATGTCAGTACCGTACAGTTGCACAGCTGTTTTTGAGTGCAATATGCATGTACTGAAATGTAATTTCATGAATTATATCCATGACAAACCTAACTAAAACTGAATTTGTACATAGTTTACGAGTATCGTAGGAGGCAACTCATACCGATAACTATTCACCATAAGCTTTGAAGCGACTAACAGAAGTCAAGTAAAGACTGTTTACACAGTTGATGTAATTCTGTCTGGCGCCCAAATTATTGATACGACTTGCAAAATTACGGATGATGAAGCATGGGGTAAAGCGTGTACAGTAGAAGCTTTGTGATAATTGAATTCAAACCGAGTTATGTCACAAGTATCGAGTTAATCAGATCGATAGTATCCAATATCAACATCAACATACCTTTGGAAATTGCTATGTTTTTAGATTCAAAGCTACCCAGCTTCTCCTCCGCTTCAACTTTAAAGATGGCAAACTCTTGCTCCTTGAACTCCAACTTCCTTTGATATTCTTCTACTATCTTCGAACTGTTCA